TGGTTTGGGCCCGCCGGAACCAATGTCGCGGCGTCGGCCCAGAACGCTGCCGGGTCGGCCCCGCGCGCATGCGTCTTCAAGAACAACGGAAGGAATGCGCAGGCCAAGCGGCAGGTCACGGCCGGGGGCCCAGCCGCCAGCCGCCAAATACTGCGAGCTGGGGCGGGGCAGCGCCCCCCGCATGCGCGGCCCTGCCCAAAACTGCTCAACGGCAGCCGGGCTGATAAAAAACTCGCCCGAGGCTCACCCTTCAGAGCTGCTGGCCGCCGCGCCGCGACAGGACGCGCATCGCGGTGACCGCCCCAATCCCCGCCGCCCGCCCAGGACAGGTCGGGGGGCAGGACGCGCAGAGGAGAAACGCTGCACTTTTCGCGGGGCTCGGGGGCGCGGGAGGCGCCCTGGGAGGCGCCCGGAACGAAAGCGGGGACAAGGGGCCAGGGCAGGAACGAAGGCGGAGGCGGAGGACGGGGGCGATGCGTTGGAACGAGGGCGGGAACGAAGGCGAGAATGAAGGCGGGAACGAGGGCAGCAACGAGGGCGAGAAGGAGGGCGGGAACGAAGGCGGGGACGGAGGCGGGAACGAGGGCGAGAACGGGAGGGATAAGGAGGGCGGGAACGGGGGCGGGAGCGAGGGCGAAAACGGAGCGAGAACGAGGGCGGGAACGAGGGCGGGAACGAGGGCGGGAGCGAGGGAGGGAACAAAGGCGATAACAAAGGCGGGAGCGACGGCGGGAACGACGGCAGGAGCGACGGCGGGAGAGAACGAAGGCGACAGACGAGGGCAAGAATGACGGCGGGTACGCGGGCGGGAACGAGGGCGATAACGGGGGCGGGAACGAAGGCGGGAACGACGGCCACAACGAGGGTGGGAACGACGGCGAGAACGAAGGCGAGAACGATGCGGGAGCGAGGACGGGAACGAGGGGGGGCGAGGGCGGGAGTGAAGGCGGGGAGCCGCCTCTGGGCGCCTCCGGGATTCCTCCGGGCGCCTCGGAATTTCGCCGGGCGCTTCTGGGGAACCTCCGGGGAACCTCCGGGGAACTTCCCGGAACCCCCCCGGGGACCTCTGGGAGGTTTGTTGGGAGTCTATTGGAAGTCTGTTTGAGGTCTGTTAGAGGTTTGTTTGAAGCATGTTTGAGGCCTGTTGTGGGCCAAGCTCTGATTAAGGTCTGTTTGACGCCTGCTTAAGGTCCGTTCGAGGTATGTTTGACGTCTGGCCGAAACTCTGTTTCAGGAGTGATTTCCCCGGGCGGCCCTTGGGTTCCCCGGGCGGCCCCCGGGCGGCCCCGGTACGAGGGCGAGAACGAACGCGAGAACGAAGGCGGAAACGAGGGCGGGAACGATGTCGACAACGAGGGCGGGAACGGGGGCGAGAACGAAGGCGGGAACGACGGCGGGAGCGAGGGCGAGAACGAACGCGAGAAAGAGGGCGGGAACGAGAGCGGGAACGAGGGCAAGAACGAGGGCGAGAACGAGGGCGGGAACGAGGGCGGGAACGAGGGCGAAAACGAGGGCGGGAGCGACGGCGGGAGCGACGGCGGAAACGACGGTGGGAGCGAAGGCGAAAACGACGGCGGGAACGAAGGTTGGAACGAAGGCGGGAACAGGGGCGGGAACGACGGTGAGGGCAAGGACGCGATCGAAGGCGAAGGCGAGAAAGAGGGCTGAAGTGAAAACGGCCTCGGCGGTGGCGAGCGCCCCCATGGCACGCCCCCTGGCACGACCCATGGCGCGCCTCTCCGGGGCGCTCCGCGCCCGCCTCTCAAGTAGCCCCGGGGCAGCTACTGCGCGCTCAGGCAACTCGAGCTTAAGATCTAGACCAGTTCGGTCAGGACTCGGATGCAAAGGGGGACTCGATCCACAACGTCACAGTGCACAATCGCGGCATGGTACATTTCAATTCAGCACGGCGCAGCGCAGCACAGGCCTTCACTCAGCAAAACCATTGCCAGCCGCCCAATCAGGTGTCTCGAAAACGTCGCCATGTCTTACATGTATATACTCATTATCAGGTTCGTCGGTCGATCATGTTTCACACCTACCACCTTTTTTTTCCGAGGCGCCGGCGCCCTTGGCCTTCTACAAGATCACGTCGCCGCCCTCCCCCACGTTGCGCCGGATCTTCTTCGGGACGTTCTCGACCACAGCGACAGTGGTGATCGGCCTCGTGAAGTCGTGCTCGGCCAACAGGAGCACCTCGCCCCTTGTCCATGTAGCGCATCGACAAGCCAGGCGCGGCGACCGACATCGGCCACCACGTCCGCAGCACTCCTCCTGTGCCCCAATCTCGAACAGCGTCGCATAGATGCCCATCGACGCGTTTTCACTTGCCCCTCTGGAGCGGGCAACCCGCCACGCAGGCCGACGCCTCGTCCGTCATGCCCTGGGCGCCGATCTTCGCTTTGATTTTGTCGTAGGTCCCCTTCATTTTGTTGCAATACTTCACCTCCAAGGTGATGAGAAGGCAGGCCGAAGACATCTATCTCGGTAGGTCGTGGGTTGGTTCCGACGCCGCGCAAGCGGGCGTGGACAACCTTGTCCACGCCCTCGTAGAATTCCTTCATGTTTGTAGCCTGGCCCTTCCACACAGCAACGTTGTTGCTGAGCGAGGCATCAAACTGTTGTACCAAGTTCTGGACGTTCGTCATGGAGGCTCGCAGCTGGCCCAGCATCACTACCTCATCCACGGTTCCATTCTCTCCTCCATCGGAGCTCTTTCTGTCGGGGCGGCCATCCCAGCGAAGGTGCCGCCGAGCGTCAAGCGTCGGTGTTTTGTGCCCGCTGAAAGCAGAGGCTGGACCTCCTGGACCCCCTGTTCCTTGACCTCCTCCGGGTGGTTGGTCGGGAAGTTCTGAAGCGCGGTCTTCAGGTCAGTTTTCTCCGCCGCCGCCGGGGCTTCCAACCTCTGGAATGCTTGCCATCATTTGGGATTCTGGCCCATGGCCTCGAGCTGAGGTGCTGGGTAGTCCGCGTTGCTCTGCTCAAAACCGCGATTCGCCGCGTGGACGTTTACCAAAAACTCGGCCAGAGAGGACGCCATGGCAACTGGCTGGGCGCGTACAACGCTCGAGCCACGTAGGAGCCACTCCAACCCTTGCGTTTCATGATGGACTGGAACGATGGCTGGTCGAACCGCTGCTCATACTTGGAGTCAAGTTATTGTATCATGCCCTCTAGGGTGCGGCACTGTCAGAGACCACTGCCTGATCAGCCGTCTGAGCCTTCGTGGAACTCATGCCTGCCGCCGGAGAAGACATACTCTGACTCAGCCAGGCGAGAACGGAGATGAGGCCGGCAGCCATCGTGGAATGGTAGGCGCACTCCCAAACGCTGGAACGTACTGGCGTCCCAACGGGAATCGGAATAAGTAGGAGCAAATGAAAGTAGAACCACGCGCGCGCTTCGCGCGCGCTTAGGTTCTAGCTAGGAGGCGAGCTTGAGTCAACGAAAGTCGCAGGGAAGGGGGCAGGGGGAAGAAGGCCAGAGAGCGCTGAAGGATACAAATACTGGAACCCTCTTGTGATTTTGTGGGGGGCCTCGTCCGGCCGCTCGCTGGGAGTTTGACGTAGCTTCTCGGGAGCCTCTGAACCTGTCGGGGGCCTCCTGGAAGCAGGTTCGAAGCATTTTGGGGGCCGATTTGGGGCTTCTCGGGGCCTCCTTTGGGCCTCTTGGGGGTCTCCTGGGGCCTCTTGAGGGGCCTCCTTGGGGCCTCCTGGCGGCCTCTTGGGGCGGAAGGCTCGAGCTTGCGGTTCGTGGTCCCCCTCTGGGCCCCCTCTTGGGCCCGTCTTGGGGCCCTCTTGGGCCATCTTGGGCGCCTCTTGGGCCGTCTTGGGGCCCTCTTGGGCTGTCCTGAGGCCCTCTTGGAAGCTTCTTGGGCCGTCTTGGGGCGGTCTTGGGCGCCTCTTGGGCCGTCTTGGACGCGGTGAAAACCCAAGAGGCGAACATGCGAAAACTATACGTTTTCCCATAGGAATGGCACAATGTTTGCTTCTTGGGCCTCTCTTGGGCTGCCTCTCGGAGCGTCTTGGAGGCTTCTGGGACCTTCTTGGTGTCATGACAGGCGTCTTGGAAGGCATCTGGAGCCATCGGAGCGCGTTCCGAAGCCGCCTGCGAACGATCTTGGACGGCGTCTGGCGGTCCGACGAGCCTCCGGGCCCCCCGGGGCCCACATTTGTGGTCGAGGTCCCGGCCCCGGGCCCCCGGACCCGGTGCGCCGTTATATGTATATGAGGGCAGATGTGGAGAAACTCCTGAAGGACGCACGAGCCGCCCACTTGGCAGCGTCCAAGTTCGAAGCGTCAGGGTCGCACGTTTCAAACTTAAGCAAAAACGGCTACGGATACTGATGACGATGGTGGTGATAATGGTAAAGATGCTGATGAAGGCGATGATGAGTATGCTGTGATGAAGATGACGGTTATGATGATGATGGTGGTGGTGATGATGTTGATAGTGGTGATGCCAATGAGGGCAATAGTGATGATGATGACGATGATGATGATGACGATGATGCTGATGATGATGATGATGATAATGTTGATGCTGATGTTGATGCGGATGCTGATGCTGATACGGGTGCTGATGCTAATGCTGATGCTGACGATGCTGCTGATGATGACGATGCTGATGCTGATGCTGATGATGCTGATGATGGTGCTGATGCTGATGGTGCTGATGATGATGCTGGTGATGGTGGTGATGGTGATGATGGTGACGGTGGTGATGATAATGATGGTGATGATGACGATTCGGATTATGGTGTGATGGTGGTGATGATGACGACGACGATGATGATGATGATGACGACGACGATGATGATGATGACGATGATGATGATGGAGGATGAGAGGAGGAGGCAACTGGAGGAGGAAGGAGAACGCGAGGCGCTGTTTCTTCAAAACGAGGACCCAACACCACAAAATGGCTGGGAAAAAAAACATAATCGAAGCGGAAACGGCCCACAGATCGCCAGATACACCCCGTTCTGCTTGAGCCCTAACCTGGAAGATGGCGTCGCAGGACTCGTCCATGGCCCGGGCGAACTCGTTGTCCGTCTGCCTGCGGTTCATGGCGTCGAGGAAGGCGCGCCCGAAGGAGGCGACGAGCCCAGCGTTCTCCCGCAGCTTGTCGCAGGCCTGTTCGCGCCTGTACCCGCCCGAGCTCGCCAGCACGCGGAGCACCTGGTCGTGTTCCATGAGGGGCCTGAAGGCGTCCGCTTTGGTCGGGATGCTCAGGAGCAGGATGACCTTGTCTTTCTTGTCTATGGTCCTGAGGCCAGACATGAGCGACTGGCGCAGGATCCGCTCGCAATCCGCCTTGTCCGGGGAGTTGATGTCCACTTCGATCTGGATGATCGGCACCAGGCCCGCCTTGAGGCCCAGCCTCGCCACCTCGAACTGTTGCTCGACAGCCTGCTTGATGCCGTATGAATTCGGCTGCAAGACGATGTTCCGGTGCTTCACCCCGAAGAAGCCCAGCTGCGTTGCCTTTTCGAGGGTGGCGGGCAATCTGGGAATGTCCCGCATGAGCTGGACGCCGTCCGCCTCGTCCATGACACCACGGTCGACTCTCAGGAAGGGCACCACCTTTGGGAGGTTTGGAAATTAGTACCACCACCAACAAAATGTCAGCTTGTGATGAACAAATCCGTGAGGGGCGCGCGTTTCAATAGATAGCCCCCTGCTCGGGCGAATCGCGGGGTGGCGCCCGCCAGATTGAAAATCAACGGGGCGGCGCCGGTGATTAACGCCGACGCCGGGCCGCCAACGAGGGGCATGGGGGGGGGTGGAGGCAACGGCGAGCCAGGGCGCCCCTCTTTCTGTCGAACCGATGCGGGCCTGCGGGCAAGGCGGGCTGGACGGAAGTGGGGCGCAGCAAAGGAGGGATTTGCCAAGCAGCTCACATCGCCGATTTTCCCAGCGCCTCCTGGCGCCGAAAGCGGCCATGCGTCGAGGACTGGCCCTTCGGCGGGGCGACCGAAACCAGCTGCGCGCAGCAGGTTTCGCAACCCCCCTTTTCCTTCCCCACCCTTTCGTCCGACTCGAGCAAGGCGGGTAGTCCTCCTCCCCCCCACTGTCGCCGTCGTCGCCGCCGTCCCCAGCCCTGCCTGCACCCTGCCTCCTCCTCCCCCTCCTCCTCCTCCTCCCCCTCCTCCTCCGCCTCCTCCTCCTCCTCCTCCACACCCTCCTCCTCCCCCTCCTCCTCCTCCTCCCCCTCCTCCTCCGCTTCCTCCTCCTCCTCCTCCTCCATCCTCCATCCTCCATCCTCCATCCTCCATCCTCCTCCATCCTGCATCCTCATCCTCCCTCTCCTCCTCCTTTTCCTCCTCCTCCTCCTCCTCCTCCTCCTCCTCCTCCTCCTCCTCCTACTCCTACTCCTGCTCCTCCTCATCCGCCTCCTCCTCCTCCTCCGCCTCTCCTCCTCCTCTTCCTCGTCCTCTGCCTTCTCCTCCTTTTCCTCCCTCACCCTCCTCTCTCCTCTTCCCCCCTGGCGCGCATGTTTAACTATCGCGCTCGCGCCCCGCGGGATCTATTCATCAGCCCCAGGGGGGGCTCTGACCATTTGATAATCACAAGCTGACATCAGGGGGTTCACCACTGGGGGAAAATGATCCCAGATTTTGCTGCCGGTGGTAATCCTTCGGCCACCTAGGACGCCCGAATATCACCACTATCAGAGAGACCGTGATCATCTTTCTTCGGTGGAGGCAACCGCCGATACTGGTGTCGATGCCAGCCTCTGGGTCTCAGAACCTTCTTCTGCTCCCACAGGTACTGCGGAGTGGGCAGCTGGGCGATCTCCATGTCCATCGTGTCCGTCGACAGCAGCACGCCTATCACGCGCGAGCCGTTGAAGCGCGGGTGCGTGAACACGCGGGCGCGGAAGGCATGGAGTTTGGCCTGCAAGCTCGTTTGGTCACCGAGCTCGTCGGAAGCCCATCCGTAGCTCTCCAAGATCCGCCTGGTGTTGTTGCCAGTCTGGTCCAGGGCCACGAAGAAGCCCTCCTGTCCGCTGACCTTCACCGCCTGCTCCTCCCTCACCGGCATGCGCTTGGAGACTCTGAAGACCTGCTCGCAGGCCTCGTCGAGCACCTTGGAGAAGTCCTTGTCCGACATGGAATATCTCATCTCCTCGGTGAAGGCCCGCCCGAAGCCGGCCACCATCCCGCAGTTCTGCTTCAGCATCTGGCAGGACTCGCCCCTGTTGTAGCCGCCGGACAGCGCCACCAGCCTGATGGAGTTGGGGTGATGGATGAGGGGGAAGTACTGGTTCGACTTGGTGGGCAAGGTGAGCCAGAAAATAACCTTCTCGTCGGAGCGCAGCTTCTGCAGGCCGGCCATCAAGGCGTCGAGCAGGAGCTCTTCGCAGGCGCCCTTGTCCGGCGAGCTGATGTCCACCTCGGGCATCAGGATGGGCACCAGCCCCTTGGCCATCACCTTGCTCGCGATCTCGAACTGCTGGTCCACCACTGCCTTAATGCCCGCCGCGTTCGCGAGCCGAATGCTGTTGCGGGCCTTCGTCCCGAACATGCCAGCAGAGCACGCCTTGTCCAGCAGCTTGTCGAGCTTCGAGGTGTCGTTGATCAGCCGCACGCCATTCGTCTCCTTGGCGTACTGCCGGTCCACTCTCAGAAAGGGCACCACGTGCTTCACCTGCCACAAGTACTTGGCGGTGGGCATGCCAGACACCTTGCGATCCATGCTGTCCTCGGACAACGTGGTGGCGATCACGCGCGAGCCGTTAAACTTCGGGTCGGTGAAGATTCGCGAGCGCATCTGGTGCAGTTTCCTAGACAATTCGCCCTTGTCGAAAGTCTCGACGGGAACGCCGTAGCGCTGCAGTATGGGGTCGTTCCGAGAGGCTGTCTGGTCGAGTGCAACGAAGAAGCCGTCGCTGGTCTCAACCTTGATGATCTGCACCTCCTTCGTCGGGACTGCCATGGACGCCTGGTACATGGCGTCGCACGTCGCTTTCAAGGTCTTCGTGAACTCCTCCGGGCTCTGGTCCAGCTTGAGTCCCTCCAGGAAGGCCCGGCCAAAACTTGCCACCATGCCTACGTTCATCTCCAGGGTGCGGCAAGCCTCCACTAGCCCGTAGCCCCCCGACAGACCCGTGACGCGCATGGTGCAGGGATGCC